CATTGATTTAAAATACTTCGGCATGAAATCCGAAGCTGAAATTTTCACAAAACATGCATAGATGTATTCTGCTTCATAGAAAACCAAACGTCTAGAGAAAAACCTTGTAGAACGTGTAAACTGAATTTTTCCAGTTTGATGAGACAGAAAATTATATAAATTTACGAAAAGTCAAATTCCGTCATTGATTTTAAATACTTCTGCATGAAAGTCAAAGCTGATTTTTTTACAGAACATACAGAAAAGTATTTTGCTTCATAGGAATTATAACGTCTAACGCAAAACCTTGAACAACATAAAACATTTTTTTTCCAGTTTGATGCGACAGAAAATTACTTAAATTTACGAAAAATCTATTTTCCGAAATTGATTTAAAATACTTCGGCATGAAATCCGAAGCTGAATTTTTCACAAAACATACATAGATGTATTCTGCTTGATAGAAAACCAAACGTCTAGAGAAAAACCTTGTAGAACGTGTAAACTGAATGTTTCCAGTTTGATGAGATAGAAAATTATATAAATTTACGAAAAGTCAAATTCCGTCATTGATTTTAAATACTTCTGCATGAAAGCCAAAGCTGATTTTTTCACAGAACATACAGAAAAGTATTCTGCTTCATAGGAAATATAACGTCTAACGCAAAACCTTGAACAACATAAAAAATTATTTTTTTCCAGTTTGATGCGACAGAAAATTACTTAAATTTACGAAAAATCAATTTTCTGCCATTGATTTAAAATACTTCGGCATGAAATCCGAAGCTGAAATTTTCACAAAACATGCATAGATGTATACTGTTTCATAGAAAACCAAACGTCTAGAGAAAAACCTTATGGAACTTGAAATTTGACTTTTTCCAGTTTGGTGAGAAAGAAAATTATATAAATTTACGAAAAGTCAAATTCCGTCATTGATTTTAAATACTTGTGCATGAAAGCCAAACCTGAATTTTTTACAGAACATACATAAAGGTATTCTGGTTGACATGAACTCAAACGTCTAGTGCAAAACCTTGTGGAAAGTAAAAACCTTAACTTTTTCCGGTTTGAAAAATCAACTTCAATAAAAATTTTTAAATACAGTTCAAGAGTCAAAGCTGAAATTTTCACAGGGAATTGATAGCAGTATTTTGCTTCAGATTAAAACCAATTTCTTCAGCTTGGAAAAAACTGCAGAAAGAGCAACACAGTAATAATGACTGTTGTTGCGGTTTAGGAAAATCCCCTGAAAAGAATGCAACAAACTTAAATGTTCTTATCAGTACTACCAAGTCAATAAATAGCAATCAGTTGAAGAATGTGTGACTTTTAACCTCTGCATTCACTTGGACTATTGAAGAGAACAAATGGCAATGACATTCATCTTGATCCAAGCCAGCCTGAAAATCGATAGATAGTATAGTGAATAGTTGCGTTCTACCGCAAATCAGCATCAATCTACGCAGAAAACAACATGATTTTCCACTTTGACAAAAACAGCACATCGAGTTGCATTCATTGCACAAGGTTAGCGGTGAAAACCTCAGATTGCGCCTTATATTGAATATTAGATATCAGTTGATTGTGCAATGTGTAGAACGTCAATCGAATTCATGGCTAAAATTATTATTATTAATAACAAATCAAGCGCGTCAAATMGACYAACAAAARCATGTTCTRAGTGGAAGGCAGTTTTGCTCTAGTTATTATGCATGTACGTTCTAAGCATGCAAGTCCAAGACGGACTAATCAAACGAACAAATAGATGTAATTACRTCTAACAAAATAAGTGCTTTTCTGATGGCAATGTTGACTTTGCCAGTTAGATGGATGATTAGTAATCGATGGGTTGGGGTTCAGATCGTGATTTACTAGGTTGTGCTCACTTTGGGTCATGTTTTATGACAATACTAACTGATGAAAAATAAATCCGCGTCAATTCGATATTTGAGCACAATTGCGAAAATAAAATCCCCTATCAAGTCCCAAGAATCCTAAAAAACTCTCTAAAGGCGTTAAAGATGCTGATATAACTGAGAATGCCAACATCAAAAATATAACGAAGAAACCACCACTAACTAAACCAGCCGCATGCAGTATGTTAGGAAAGCTGATCAAAATTATTACATACAAAACAGACTTTGCATAAATTAATTGACAAAATATGGGGCAGTCGGCTGCTAATTGTGGCCAATAATAATAAACAGACTCGCATGTAACAATAGATCTGTTTATAATCATGGTTATTCTTTGCATCCTGCTGCCATTCTATTGCCTAATCGTATGGACGCTGATGAAACGGCTGGAAATGTTTATGTAATAAACGCGAGGAATTTAGAAAAATGCAATAATGGACTTGTACGTGTAAAATTTTAATTTCCGAGATGTAGCCGTCTGGTAAATGAGCTCTCCACATGCGTTACCAGCAGCCTCCGAGCAAACAGGATTGCGTCAATCGAAGTGAAAAAAAAAAAGTGAAGGCACGGATGTTCCGACCAAAATCTAATCTAAATAATAAATAAGAAGTCGTGTATTCGTGTCCGATGGGATGCTTCAGGTACGTTCTCTCTTCCATTTTTGTTACCCAGCCTGTTATTGTTACCTTTTCAGGCGCAATTGTGTATGACGACCTTCAAATACCTCGGCTTGATTGTTCCATAAAAGCTCATCGGACAAAACGGAAATTGACAATTTCGTATCTACGGTCACGGATATGTATGTTCGTATACTGAAAAATCGCAAAATTTGCCACACAAATCTACAGGAAAATAACAGCACGGATATTATGGTTAATGATAGGAATCATCAACAGAGGACAAAGTAGGTTTACTTGCAACAACAGCGTTATTTCATAAAAAAAAAATATGGATGCACTATGGATGAACCAAAGCTCCGTTTTAATTTTTTTAAACTCGCATCCCAAACTCTGAACTGGTTGATCAGAAACACGCTTCAGAAGGGCATGGTGCAAAAATGAAAAACCGCAAAAAATCTTACTCAAGTTCAAGAACTAGTTATCGAGAAACCAGTAGATCGAATGAGACCAGATTCACCTCACTTGTAAAATGAAGGTTCCTTTTCGATTTTTTGAAACCCGCATATGAAGAACTGAAGCAAGTAATCAGAAGCGGGCATCAGAAGGACGAGGTGCAAAAATAGAAAATCGTCCAAAATTTTACTCAAGTACAAGAACTAATTATGAAGAAACCAGTGGATCGACTGAAACCAGATTCACATCACATGTAAAATGAAGGTTCTGTTTCGATTTTTTGAAGCCCGCATATGAAGAATTGAAGTAAATAATCAGAAGCGGGCATCAGAAGGAAGAGGTGCAAAAATGGAAAACCGCCCAAAATTTTACTTAAGTACAAGAACTAATTATGAAGAAACCAGTAGATCGGATGAAAACAGATTCACATCACACGTAAAATGAAGGTTTCGTTTCCAATTTTTGAAACCCGCATATGAAGGACTGAAGCAAATGATCAGAAGCGGGTATCAGAAGGACGAGGTGCAAAAATCGAAACCCGCCCAAAAGTTTACTCAAGTTCAAGAACTAATTATGAAGAAACCAGCGGATCGAATGAAACCAGATTCACCTCACATGTAAAATGAAGGTTCCGTTTCGATTTTTTGAAGCCCGCATATGAAGAACTGAAGTAAATAATCAGAAGCGGGCATCAGAAGGA